ATAAATAAATAAATATTGGTTGGTATATTTAAATAAATAAATAAATATTGGTTATATAAAAAGCTAGAGAACTCGGCCACGAGGTACTGTGACTAAGGTCGACATTCAATGATATTATTATAAACTATTCAATACTGTGAAGTGGTACTTTTGAATACGGTATAAAAATTAACGGCATTAAAATTTGATTTAAAATTTTAAAATGTTTGATATAAATTTTTTTTGAGTTGCTTTTTTCATTTGATTGATTTTATTTTCTAGTTTGTAACAAATGAGTCATTTTCAAAGATGTTGATACGATACGATGTAAGATAATTAATGAGATAGCTAGGGTAGATCATTCTTAATTTTCAACAGTTATATTTATAGTTGAATAATATTCTTGGTTATGATCAAATATATTAGTTGGTTTGCCCATACTGCAATGGGGGAATTCGTGGTAACAGGACCATTTATCCATTAAATCTTATGGTTGTTGTTGTTGTTTTAACGGTTATCTAGTCTCCGCTAGGATGGTAAGTGATAGTTTGGTAGTCGTCGAGGTCATCTAACGGGGGGCCCAAGAAACGGGCTGTTTCGATGGGGTCGGGGCCTTATTGAATGCGGGACATATGTTTGGTATGTCGGGGTCTATTCTGGATAAGTAGGAGTTTAACCTGCTACAATATCCAGAACGAAGTTGCGCGAGGGTCACTCTGGTTTCGCAGGGCAACTCGAGCTCTACGTCTGCTATAGGTGGTGGTTTGACTCCTAGTACGCCATTCACTGAGAGGGAGTCGATGAAAGTGTTAATGGCTCCACTGTGAATGGCGGTCAGTGCTTGTCTGTAGTTCGTTGCGTCCGAAGTCCGGTCGGCGTACTGTCTGATGTCGTCGACGTAATCAAGCAATGTCCTCTTGATGTTCCTAGGAGACGGTTCCGCTTCAAGCAGGCAACTGCAGGGGTGATTTCTGCGAAAACACCCCAGCAGAAATTGCTTGGAGAGGAGCTCATTATGTTCCTTAACCGGAAGCATAAGGGCCTCACTATGTAGGTGTTCAATTGGGGACATCAAGAGGCACCCCGTGATAGTCCGGAGTGCAGTGTTTTGACAAGTCTGAAGCTTTCTCGTCTGCGTTGGGAGTGAAGGAGCACAGACTGTCCAATGTGACGCCTAAAATTTTAGGCTTATTTACTGTCGGAATTTTTGTACCATCGACTGAAATGTTCAGGTCCAGTCTGTACTCCTTCGTCCAATTTGTGAAGATGGTCGCTGTGGATTTAGTGGGGGAGAGTGTTAGGCTCCTTGCAGAGAAGAAGCGAGATTGATCGGAGAGGTAGCTGTTTACTTTTGAGCACATGCCATCGATTCCATTGCCCGACGTCAATATCAGCGTACGGGGTCACTGAAATTCCCGCTGGTGGCTGGGGGAGTTTCGAAATATAGAAATTAAACAGTAGTGGGGAGAGAAGACGTTTTCATTTTCATCAACAACACTGGCGCTAGATTTTTAATACATTAAATCTCCTGGCAACAATTGTTGTATCTGGAAATTAATTTTGTCAACATCTACATTTGTGGCCGCTATTGTAGCCCGATATCTGAGCCAATTTGGATCCAAGTAATTAGTTTTTATTTCCAGGAAAACTAGTCTCAAATATATATTTTTTTTCGTGAACAGCAGTGCAGTAATTGGCTGGCAATTTTATGCTTTGCGTATTTGGTTGCAGTTTTGTTCTACCATTCCTAATATCTAGAAATTTTTGGGAATATATAATATGTATGCTGGTGGATCAATTTGCAATTACTGCGCATATCACCAGACAGTAGTAATTTCAACGTTGCGGTTTAAATCTAGCATTTTTCTGTGCAATGCTTCAAGAATGTTTGTGAGGTATTATACACTTTTATGGTTGTTATTGTAACTTTACGGGAGGCCCAGACGAGGCCCAACAAGCTGTTTTGACGGGTTCGGACCATAGGGAGTTGGTTTCTTTGGGGGTGCAAAGTGGTTATTAGTGTCATGCGGGGACTCATTGCATGCAGAACATAGGTTTTGTTTGTCAGGGTTTATTCTGGATAAGTATGAGTTTAACCTGATACAGTACTCAGAACGAAGTTGTCACTATTTTCTCACGCGGCAACTCGAGCTTTTGTTCTACTATCGGTGGTGTTTGGACTTCAAAAATGCCATTCGCTGGGAGGAAGTGAATGAAGGTGTTAAAAGCTCCACTGTAAATGGCGGTTAGTGCCAGTCGGAAATTGGTAGCGTTTGAATTTGGTCGGTATATTGTTCAAGTTCGTCGACATGTTAGAGAAATGTTTTCCTATAATTAATCTCCCGAGGAACAAATTCCGGCTGCTAGTCGCATTCTACACCGGCCATTGCAGGCTTAAGAAGCATCTCTTCAACATGGGCTTAGCCTCTTCTGCAAACTGCCGGTTCTGCGACATGGATCCGGAAACCCCAGAACATCTGCTCATGAACTGCACAGCAGTCTGCAGACGCAGAATCAAGGCCCTGCGATCCATGTTTCTAAACAGGGATTGTATCGCTTCACTAGCACCCAGCAGAATATTGGAGTTTATCAACATGCTGGGGCTTGATTAGTTGTTATGACTTAGGGGAGGGCACAATAGACCTTAGGTCGCGGTGCATACCTCAAAATTAATCTATTCTGTAAGTTCTCTTGATGTTCCTAAGAGGCGCCTGGGCCCAAGCAGAAATGGCTTGGAGAGCACTTTATACTTATATTATGCTCCTTTGCAGGAAGCATGCGTTCCTCACTATGAAGATGCTCGATGGGGTAAATCCGGAGAGCGGTGTTCGGACAGGTCTGTATCTTTTCCATCTGCGTCCTGCTGCATCAAGCGGGGCGGCGTAGTTAATGACCGGCCGTCCGATTGCTTTGTATGTTGCTAACAAAGTATCTCTGTCCTTG